CCAAATGAAATTGTACACTGAACATAGAATGCTGTGTCAAAATCATTTTCTTGATAATTTGGTGCACACATTAAAATAATTCTGAAGGCTTGTAAATCAATGTTGAATTAGAGTTAAAAACCAAACAGTATGTTGAAAATTCACTTAATTTGTGTAATAAAGCGGTATGTTAAAATAATAATAAAATAGAGTGTGTTATTATTATCTGCTTGTATTATATTCCCTTTTTGAAGTAGTCCCTATATTTCACCTAGATTAACTACCAAATTACTAAAACCTGTGTTCCCTGTGGATGTTTTTCGTTTGTGGAATTTGTTTATGTTATGGATTTCGTATACGAAAAAAATTCACAGAAAACATTGGTTTTAGTAATTTGGTAGTTAATATGAAACCCAAGTATAAAAGTAAGTATTTAAACTTCCCGCCATACTACTTGTCTCGGAGGGCTGACTATAGGTGGAGCTAGTTTCTATGGGTAATATTTTCTATGAAGTTGGCATTCTTCTCGTAGAGTATTATTGATCTGTGGTCTTTAGTTAGACTGATAAGGAAGGCGTAGTTTCGTTATTTATGTGTGCGTGAAACTGTGTACGAATACGCCGAGGCGTAGTTTTGTCGGCTTTACTTTTCTGTTAGGCAAAACTCCGTCTATACTTTTTATTTGGTCTGAGCCTAAAGTCGTCAGCAAATTACGTGTTAAAAAAATATTTAATAATGGCATGAAAGGAGCGAATGAGAGGATATGAGTTGGGAATGCTGAATTTAGGAAAGGAATGGAATATTTAAATAAGGTCTTATTCTTAAATTCCATAGCAGTACAGTTATTGTTTAATACCAAGAAATTTTCTGTAATGTATTTGTATAAAGTGACCAGTAGCTTGACCGGCGTACTGAAATTAATGTAGTAGGTGTTAAACTAAAACGGTATCCTATAAATTTATATCCGTTAAGTCTTTCAAATGTTATAGTGCAATAAAGAAACTCACATACATACTTACATTAACCCTTAACCTTTTTTTTTTTGGCAATCTTGTAAAAATTAAAATATGGTTAACTTAAATTAAGTTTAACATATTAAATGTAGCCACATTAGCTAAAGTCGTTAAATTAAATAACCAAGTGTGATAGGGAAATACTGAAAGGCAGTGGTGTAACTTCAGGGTGGCAAGTTGGCAAAATGCCACGGGGCTCCTGTTGGAAGGAGCCCCCGGTCATAGGAGAATCCTTATTCCTAAAATTTATTATTATACAATTAGTAAAAAAATACAGAGTATCCGATGAATTTGCCTCGGGCCTCCAACGATATAGTTACGCCACTGCTGAAAGGGAAAGACGACGACGGACTATGCACGACCAAATTGCAGGTGTATTTAAAAATCCTTGACCGGAATTTTTGTTCAATAGGTTTGTGAAGAAAATTAAATTAGAATGTCAGGATGTGCAAAATGAATGAATGTGGTCTCTGCATGTCATAACGGGAAAAGTGCGTGAAATTATAGGTAGATAGAAAAGATAAGATAACAAGGATTGATTTACTCAAAGATAGAAAGTTAATAACTCGATGTCCTGTCATTTTATTTTTTATCTTTTTATTTTGATATATAACAATCATTACTTTAAAGTACTTATATAAATTACAATATTTATTAGAGAAGGTGTGGACACACCTTTTCTAATAAATGTTGAAGGTGTGGACACACTTTTCCAATAATAGGTAGATAACAGTAGATAACAAATAAATAACAGTTGCCTGAAGGAAACCAGTTACGGAGGCAAAAGTTTTTGCTTTTAAGAACTAATTTTTATTTTTTAAATAATTCCTCATTAACTTATTTCTATGTAAAACTTTGAGAATCACACTGTACTAGAAAAAATTTCAAATTTAAAGGAATATTAGTTGCTTACTTTACTATTTCAGTAAAGATAAAGCTACTAAGAGAGCAGTCAAACTGGTCTATATTAAAGCTTTCACAATTGTACATACTTGATAAAAACGAATATTTCATAAACATTTTTGAAGTAGTATGTGACAATTTATGGATAGAGTATCATAATCGATAGTGGACTATCAAATTGACAACACTAGTGCAGGTGCTTTTTCACAGTAGTCACACAGTGTAAATATCCCGATGTGATCCATCGAGTGGCCCGATCCATCGGGTACACTGTAAATTGGGTAGTCTAATCGCAGTTAGAGAGTTAGGGTCCCGATATCGGGTGAACGTGGGCGCCCGATCGCCCGATGAGAGTTAGGGCCGATTTATTGGGTAATGTGATCGCTGTTAGGGTGTTAGAGCGCTCAGTCGGTTGTTGCGCAGCGTGCGTGTGAGACGTCAGTGAACGACAACGAAATTTGCTAACAGACAAAAATGTCTTCTCAAAAGGAAAAGAAATAATATTAAGTGTAATTTAATATTATTACTTTTTCTTATATATATATCAATATGATATAATGTTTTAAACATTTCTAGATAGCCTTTGCATGTGTCTGGTACAATTATAAATTTTATATAAATTACAATAATAAAAACTAATGCTATAATAAACTTTATATTATTGTTGTGCCCGATAGGGTCCATAGTGAGACTAACTTAATTATGTAATATTATTTTCAATTACCTATGAAAACAATAAACTTATTGAGTATTTATACTTTAAGTCATGAATTCATGATATGCATTTCCCGTTGCTAAAAATTTTAAGGTTACAGCACAGCTAACCGCTGTTTTGCGCTATATGAGATATGACTAAGTTTAATATATGATCAAATTTTGCAGAACTCATTCTATAGTAGTTCAAACTGCATAGTTGGTCATTTAGAAGCAAATATTTTTCACCCAACATTTTGTTTTATTATTTTATTAGTTACGCCCGCAGTTAAAGTATGGGCTATACCAATTTTTTGGTACTTTGTGAGCAAAGGAGCCACCCAACGCCACGTTTGCATGCCAACTGAGTTAGGGAGGCGATCTAGTGCAGTGTTTAGGGTATTAAGTGTCGGACCCTATTTATGTTATCAGAAGGTTAAATAAGAAAACACGTTCACTCTGTAACTCCGTATATTAGCGACTAGTTAAAAAGTCTTTGTTCTACAGACGCTAACAAATTGTTTATAAACATCTTACAACTAAACTGTACATGTACATGTAGGCATATGTGTCCCTACACAGTGTAATCACAACGACACTAACCGCCCTAAATCGCGGCCGATATATCGTGCCCGATAGATTGGGTAGTGTAATAAGCGCCTAAGTGGACCTAACAGGACGCTCAGTAACGCGTATCGCGTCGAGACGAGGGGTCACGTTACATGCTCCGCGATCGTTTTTACTTAAAAAATGAAGGAAAGAATAAGGAAAGGAGTAGGCTTATGTGAAATAAAAAATAAGTTTTTTTTTAGATTTAGATGTTTTTTTAAATACCCGTTTCAGTATCATGCATATTTTCAGGTTGAAATGTAGTACGGTCCCACCCGAAAATGCTTGATAAACACCCAAAAACAGCCGCTCATGAGCGCGCCACCTAAATGCAGTGCCTACCTACCACGCGTCCGATTCGAAGAGAGCACGAAACGTTGGACGTTTCGTGCGCTCTTCGGCTTGTGTCCGTCAAAACTTGTACAAGTCAATATGTCAATATTAAACTATTTCTCGTATGTTAAACTATCGTCTTTTGCTGAGATTAACCGATTTTTAACCGACTTCAAAAAATGAAGGTATCAACCTTCATTTTTCGAAGTCGGTTAAACCTTCCCTTCACTTGACCTGTGCGTATGATATATTTCCAGAACTGCCCAGTTTTCGCATATGTTATTCTTTATCATGTGGTGATATAGAATAATATAAGTAGATATCACCGTCTGAACAAATGTGTATGTATATTTTTTGTTTGTTAAGGAGTTTTTACATTATTAATCAATCGAATTGTAATATTCGATTGATTAATAATGTAAAAACTACTTTTATATTTTGTAAAAGAAACAATGTCTAAAACATTCAAAATGACAACCCTATGGTTTCAATGGAGCGTAGGTATTTATGTTATCAAATAGGCTTAGTTTCTATAGCTCTTTTTGGCGTAGCTCTCGACTTTCACAAGTGCTTGTAACAGCCTAGACTGAATAAATGATTTTGATTTTGATTTTTGATTTTATACTGTGTCATACTTATACTGTGGTAGTCATATTGAACAACTGGCCCTTAAAACACGCAGAGACTAAATGTTAAGAAAAATTAGCGTGTTAATTAACGTGTTAATTTAATAACGCACTAAGTCCATAATAAAAGGGGGGGGGGACGCAGTAAATCAAACAATACACAAAATTTTGTAGCACGTTATTTATTACATGTCGTTCTTTGAACCGAGCGCGTGTTATTGTAAAAAATATTTTATTAATATTTTATTCTAATACATGTGAAATAATAGTAAATGAACTATCTAATACAATTTTACATCCCATCACACAAATTTGTCCTTATATTTATTAACACGTACTTATCACAAGTCATGTCAATCATGTCAATTTATAAAAAAATCTCATATAAATTTTGATTTTACTTACATAAAAGCAATTTAATCTAAACAATTTAAAATATCAACTAAATAAACTATGTTAATAATATACGATTATATTTAACTTGTTACAATAATATATCTTTAATGCGTCTTTTAACATACGCACCTTCACGTTGCGCGATGTTATTAAACGTACTGCGAGAATAAATCGTTAAGGTGTCCATTAGCGTTCACGCCCACGGGATTTCTCCCCATTCGGCCTCGAGCGCTGCGCGTTAATCACAAAGTACTTTATTAGCGTTAATAGGCTAAATTTTTAACGCCTTAACGTGTACATACTTAACAGCGTTAAGCGATAAATACAATTACCGTTATTCACACGCTATGCGCTAATTTAAGCACCTCTATTCATATTTTCTTTCACAATCACTCATAATCACACACGGCGCTTTAGAAAAATGTGAAGTGAAATTGTGTTTTGTGAGTGTATTCACCACTTTTAATTTTAATAAAAAGTATACGATATGAGCTCCGATTAATAGTGTCTTTACTAAGTTAACTGTTGAATAAATACATATTTTTTGCTCATTTTTAGATCTGTGCGTTAAATTAGTAGATAACCTACAATACTTCTTACGTAATTACCAAAATGGGCAACAAGGTGTCAGCTGAAGCTGGCGTGAACATGCAGAATAATCGTAAACCTCCTCCTGAGTGTCCTATGCACAACAAAGAAAATAATACACCTGAAAATGCTGTAATAATGTCAGAACCTCAAGCACTGCAAGGTGATACCAAAGTCGATCGTAATAAGCCTTCAGAGTGTCCAGTGCAACATGGAAATGATATTAACCCCTACAATATGGTATAATTCAATTGTACATTATATTGCTCTAGGTCTAGTAATTTTTGAAGATGCTTCATTTGTAGAGCTCGCTATATTAAAGATATATAAAGTGATCAAACAAAATATATTGATATTCAAGTAACTTAATTATTCAAAAAAGAACAAAGTACTCTTTGTATTTACTATTTATTACAGGTTTTTTTTCATATCGCTTTCAGATGCCAGCTGCAAATCAACAACCATCTCCAGACCAGCCCTTCTCATTGCCAACAAATAGACAGGTTTCTTCAATTCCAAGAGCCATGCCCGACGGTTCTACAGAGTTTTGGGTGTATCCTAGCCAGCAAATGTTCTGGAATGCAATGTTACGTAAAGGCTGGAGATGGAAAGATGAAGATATTAAACAAAAAGACATGGATGATATCATTCGAATACATAATGCTAATAATGAACAAGTATGTACCCAGTGTGTCAGGTTATAATTTCTCCATCAAATTTTGAACTTATCTATCAACCGATTAATATTTAAAACCTTATATATAGATTAATATTTAAAGCCTTACAGGTTTTACCTTTTAAACCGGATTGCAGAAATTTCTATGATGAAATTTTTTTATTAATAATGACATGGTGTCGCCATCTCTGAGGTCCCAGGTTCAATTCCTGGTTAGGTCAATGCAGAAAAGGGACATTGTCTCAGATACTCCATAATACTTAACCTACATGTCTTGGAATCTGAGCATTGTATGTGATGTTGTCTAACATTTATTTATACTGTCATCCAATGATATAATAATGTGGTGTCAAAACTTGTCCCCAGCATATACACGTACATGACACAATACACTCCAATTATTCATAGACTGTAACATGTCACAGACTAGACCTTTAATGAATTAATGCATGTTTAATGCCTACATTACCTAAATGAGTTAAAAGATGATTATGTAATAATATTAATCTATTATTTCTCCTTGTTGATTGTGTATGTATTATTTGCCTGTGTATAAATAATTAAGCTTTTCAGGAGATAAAATAAACTAGACACTGATATTTATAATATGTATAATGTCATGAGAGCTTCGATCAAAATCAGAATCGAAGTAATTATCAGCTCTAAATTTAGGTCTCAATGCATCCAAAATTCAAACTCTAGTGTTTAAGAGTTTCAATCTCTTATAGATTTTCAAATAAATGTGAGTTTAGTGCATAGGCACTCAAGTAGAACTGTATTTCTGTTATTTAGATAACCAGTCTTTGACAGATCTCTTTCACAATTTATAACCAGAGTATTTACTCTTTCTTTCTATGACACAATATTTATTTTCCTGATTAAAACGCTAATTGATTAAAAATGTTTTCTTACGATCTTCGATCAATAATACAATTGTTGATAGAAGTTTACAATACTAAAATATGAAACACTGGAATCCATAAGAGTAACACCATTAATTAAAAAGAAGATTGAAATGACCCCCTTGATCTGTAGACGACTACTTATGTAGGTTCAGTACTTATGTACAGTTTTGCATAACAGCATTTTTAAAATGATTATGGTACATAAACGCATACACTCAACGCTTTCGCCAGACTGCACTCACGTATGCTTATGCAGAATAGTTTTAAGGTGACGCTATTTGGATGCAAGTAACCTATCTACCATTTTTTACTGTAATATCCTTGCTGTCAACTGGAGCAGAATCAATGAGCTTTTATATTGGATATACTCTATTACTAAATAACAGATATTAAAATAGTTGTGCATAAGACTGGCTTTGAGATACCAACTAGGAAGAGAGAGAATCTCATCTGGCTTATAATAATTTATCATATTGTCAATAATATCATTTATGTGACTGCCAAAGTGACAGCAATGAGTATACTTCCACCGTAAAGGACAGTATTCAAAATGTATGGGATAACAACCAGACCTGGCGCAAACAAAATGTTACTTGTTGAATGTTTTTATTACTATGCATGGGGAAAAGAGAAACTGGAAGAAAATCGTTATCTTCCCTCCCTTTTTAATCCTGTTCATTTTCATTTTCACATGCAGACAGTCAATTTCTAGTACAATAGCTCTATGACAATAATGCATTTTGATTACTTGTTGGTATGTTTTAAATTTAGAATCAAAAGTGCTTCAGACTATACAAAATTATATTTTTTTTCCAAAATCAATTTATTTTACAAATTTTGGTAGCCTAACATGTAGCCGTGTGTACTGGTAGATCAATATTAAAAAAAATGATGCTTAAATAAAACAAAATTTACTTATAGGCGTGGCAAGAAGTTCTGAAATGGGAAGCACTGCATGCAAAAGAGTGTGGACACCCTCGTCTTAAGAGTTTCGGCGGGAAGGCAACTGAATACAGTCCCAGAGCCCGTTTTCGTTCTTTAATGGGGTATGTTGACTTTTATTAATAAATTAATTCTTATAAATAATTGAGAAAATAAAACAGTATAATTGACAAGTAGGTACTTTGTGAAGCAGGCAAGTTGAACCACAATGACAACCAAATTCAGGGATTCGGAAATTCATTTTGACACATCATTCATGGCCTCATTTTGACAGATCATTCAGAGATTAATTTTGACAGATCAATAAGGGCATCAGTTACGCGGTAGAGCCTCAGGGTCCCGCCAGTATCACTCCCCACTTGTTGTTGATAACTTGGTACAGGAGTACCTATTTTTTGCAACAAATTAAATACATGGTATTATATAAGGACCAGACGTTTCTTGTTTATTTGTCCATATGAAAAAAAAAATGATTTTTCTTTCAGGTACGAATTACCATTTGACCGTCACGATTGGATTGTTGACAGATGTGGGAAAGAAGTTCGCTATGTCATAGACTATTATGATGGCGGCGAAGTTGACAATAAATATCAGTTTGCTCTTCTAGATGTCAGGCCAGCTTTAGATTCATTTGAAAATATGTGGGATAGAATGAAAGTATTTTATATGAGATACCGCTATGAACTAATCGGAAATAAAGAAAATCCAAAGTTGACTAATTGAACATGTGTCTATTGTTCACAATAAGTAATTTTACAGAAGGCATTATCATCAGGTATTATTTTGTGGGGTTCTTCTGTCGACTTCAAAGTCACAGTTGAAACTCTTTGTGATTGTATTTTGGTGTTGTTATTTGCAAACAGAGAATACCTGTGTTTGATATTTATTCAGATGTAATTTCATTATTTAAACATCTTTCGTCTGTAAAATCTGTTCTATTTAGAATTTGTTATCGTTGTTTTTCATTCAGCAGTGTTAAGAATTCGTTATTTACTTTTTAATAATGTTCAATAAATTAGCGTCATATTCGACAGTAATGTTTGAACTTTAGAAATAATATAATTTAAAATTTGTATAATCTCTTGATCATTTACCTGTACTACTCAGCTGTAATAAAATCAATAGAAGCCACAATAAGTGTTTGCAAGTTATGATTTTACGTTACTGTCCTTGCATATTGTAGCAAGCAAATATCAAGAATCACGTTATAAACGTGATTTGGATGGAATGTCCTAGTATGCTAATAATTCACGTTCAATAAATATGCTTCTTTAGCATTTACTTATCACATCCCCGTACTATCCCCCTCTTAGATTTAAATAGTATATAAGACGAAGATTGTTTAGTTAAAGGAAGATCTACAACCTGGAAATAAGTATAATTTCTCCCTACCGCGCTGACTCTATTTCATGGCGACCATTACCACGATGGTCAGAGTCTACAAAGTAGTGGTATCTGTCGGGACACACCACTACTTTGTAGACTGGGATAGAACTTATAACAAGCTGTAAGTTATTTTTCTATATACTTATAATGGGATAGACAGCAAATGATTATTACCCCGAGAAAATTAAATTAACTTTGGTTATCAATTGCATATAGAAGATGCAAGAAATGTTTAAAAGAAGTCATTGAAGCTGCAATGGTTGCAATATAAAAATAATTAAATGATAATAAATAAGAAAACTGCAGGTAACCGAAGAATCAAAATTTGAATATGAATGAAGAATCTGATACTCAAGAATGTAACAAGCCAAAATGTAAAGCTTGTATATAGAAGAATGAAAATAGGAAATGTTTATAGTGTCTGTAGTAGCAGCTTTTGATAACTTTTCGTATAAGTAATATTATTATATGTATTTAAATGGTAAATACTGTAAGCATTACGTCTCGTAGCTTTAATAATTATTATAAAAATGCAACGTAATTTGTAAGGGCGCATATGACGTCCAGTATAATGAAATGACTGCAATGGTCCTATATTAGCAAACATTACATGACCTATAGGGAGGTCAACTGGTAAAAAAAAGAATTTCTATTTAGTCCGTCAGTCAGATAATTCAAAAAACAAGAAATGGCTTAGTTATTAGACATTAAAGTTGAGTAGCGGGGGTTCGCTACGTCACAGTTTGTAGAAAATGTACCATAGCGTGACGTCATGCGACATGACATGCGAATTTATTGAATATGCGAAAAATAAAAAAAATACGTATTTAATATTCTTCAATAATCCACCTGACGGACAGAAAAACAAAAATCAGTCCTCATCCCTATTGCGAGGTTCGACGGGCATATCTGAATTCCCCACTTAAAAACTTCAAAATCACCCTAAAACAAATGAGTATTGTTTTATGTTTTTAATTATTTTATTCACGTAAAATTAATAACCACAATATGTATTACACTTCTATATTCAATTATCAACATTGACAACTTGGTTGGTTAGCGTATTATGTCCTTTGCATTCGTTCTTGAATATTTCAACTTGTTGTTCAATATAAATTTCAAAATTTTGGTAGGGGCAGGCTGGAAGCACTTTGAATTTTGGTTTACCTTTATTGCAGTGGTAAACAGACCGCAATGTCAAAATTGGAGGCTTTTCAGGGAACTTTAATCCTGGAACAATATTCAGTAGATATAATAATAAGCCAAACTAAGAGGAAGCAGTTGACATAAACACAAACGAAATGTAAGTATCAAACAAAGGAGGCAAAGTTAATAATATAATAAAGGCATTAAGACAACATCACATACATTATTCAAATTCTAATATAGCACGGTCGTCGAATAGAGAATTTCGTAGCTGGAACTTTCAGCACTACGTATCCGTTTCAGGGCCGGATCTCCATCTTTTTCCAACTGGGGCAGAAAGTTGATATTGCGCAGTGTTCTTGTTTCGTCGATGTTGTATTTTAGCGGAAAGTCACATTACGATTGACGATTATTTTTTTTTCAATAGTTAGTTTCAGTTGTCTTTTTTTTATGGGATAGGGGGCAGACGAGCAGACGGATCACCTGATGGTAAGTGACCCATGGACACCTGCAACAAAACAAGCGCGCTGCCGGCCTTGGAGGGAAGGGTTGAGGGGTAGAGGGAAGGGAATAGGGAGGGGTTGGGCCTCCGGTACCCTCACTCACATGACGAAACACAACGCAAGCGTTGCTTCACATCGGTTTTCTGTGAGGCCGTGGTATCACTCCGGTCGAGCCGGCCCATTCATGCCGAAAAAAAACGCGTTTATAGAATCGCATGGCTGATCTCTTTCACTCTTGTGCAAACATATTGATATTGCGCTCGCACAGATGCATATACCCAATTTTGTCATGGTTAAGTGAACTTAAAATGTTCATTATATCTGTCGGTGGGCACAAAGGTAAACGTACTAATTTTTTTATTTTATTTAGGAACAAACAGTTTTATACATTTTATGAGCATTAAATATTTAAAAAAAAGTAAACCTACAGTTCCCTATATTACATTTCAACTATCGAAGATAACTCTCCATAAAATAGATTTAATTACTACATTCATACATTCTATACAAAGCAATGTTCAATATCAAATAATTGTGGTTTTACCTATTTTTAGGCTTTTACTTACATAACAATTACAATCATACATTCAATTTATGCAAGTGTTCAGCGACTTGTCGTAAATTCTTTCTGTTTGGCGAGAGTGCTGTACCTATGAATTAATTTCAACAAACAATACGGTGATGCTGTTTACGTACCAGGGTTGCCACTCGTCCCGAGTTTTCTGGGACTGTCTTGATCTCTATAATGTCCCGCGACCCGATTTCTTATTAATTTAGTCCCGATTTTTTATAAAGTTTGACGATAGCTCCATTCCCGCCTTAGGTATCTCTACGCAGATTCCCGCCGGGATGCAATCCGCATCCTAATAGTATTTTTTTATTTTTCCTAGGATATACTTTGGACTGAAGTCCGATTGTTTCTGATGTCTGTTTCCCAACAGGTTGCAACCCTACTGACGAACACCATGATTTTCTATTCTACTTATATCTCAAAATATCTAATCAACTTACCGATATTTATTTGGAGTATCCAATGAAAATCATTCATTTCAAAAAGAAAAGCTGCACTGTTTGCATCATGTTCTAATATAGCTCCTTCATATTTCACTATCAGTTGTGCTAGAAGCTCTCTTTTCAGTTTTTCATTACTTAAAAGTTCTTGAATCTAGGAAAAAAAATTAATTTTTTATTTTAACGTATCTGCTTTAGGTATCTCTACCATACGTATGAAGGTCAAGTTGTGTCAAAAGTGGCAGTAAGTAGACATTTAATTTTTCACTTGATTAAGTAAAGTAGAAGTATAGTGCAGAGCTGTGGCGGCAATTGTGTATGTAATTTTGCCAATGAAAAAAGAATCTCCTTAGGTACTGCTGGTCTGAAGTTTGCTGGTTAGTAATTGTAGTAGTACAATTTAAAATAAAAACAAAACTTGGTCGTACAGAACTAAGGAAAGGAGTAACTATAACTGTTAAAGAATATTGCCTTTTTCATATATCACTAGCCCTTTTATTTCCCCACTGCAGGGGCTCAGATCTTCCTTATGGATGGTGAAGGCTGATGGGCCATAACCCTCCACACTAGCCCAATGCGGATTGGAAGGTGATGATTGCAAATGCTGCCGGAAAGAATAGCTTGATGTGCCTTCTGAATCACGGAGTAGCTAGAGATAATAATATTTTAATCACCCATCCCATGACTGACCATTGTGTAAGTTGCTTAGCAACAACCATCACAGGCCGTGGTGTTTATCCACTGAGTAGTGGATCCACGTGACTCCACCCACCGAGTTACTCTTCATCATATTCTAAGAGCTACTTTTAAACTATCCCGTCATAGCCAGTGTCTAAGAGTTTATTTTAAAAGGCATTTTGTGAAGCTAATAATTTTTATATATTTAATAAAAATAGTAGCTTCACTAAAAGTTTTATAAAACAACTAGCTGACCCGGCGAACTTTGTACCGCTCTCAGGTTATTTCTCTAACTGCAACTGCAGGCCATAAAACCCTTCCGGTACCCTCCACACTTGCTTAAGAAACAATTAATTAGTACATTTTATTTGTTTACATTCACTATATAAGCAAATAATTGAGAAGATAATTATCCTATCCAGTAAGTTAGACCAAAATATGGGTACATGTGAAATTTGATTGAAATCGGTTTAGTAGTTTTGGAGTTTATTGGCAACATACATCATGACACAAAATTTTGTATAAAATATACTACTCCACACTTACTTTATTATTTAGTAATTCTGTAACTAACGGAACATAATCCATTAAGACACCAGATTGATGCATCCTAAAAATATACATTCAGCATTAGTCATCTCGCGATTTAAAAACAATTGAGCAAAACAGATATTGATATGTATATTAGATTAGAACATACACTGGTAAGACAATATTTCCCAGAGACTTGGTCAGAAGAGGGGATAATATTAATTCTGCATTTGTTGAGTTAGGGTAACGTACAAGCAGCAGAGCAGTATCAATTCCTGGATTTTGTTCTATTCTGTAACAAAAAAGTTTGAGAAATCATAAATATGACTTGTTGTCACAGAATTCAAATAGAAGTCTGGGATACACTCTTTATGGTAAATAATAAGGGGAAGTATAATTTATTTTCTTTTTATTTTGTATAAAGTATGTCAATAAATTACAAACCCATCATTGTATAATTCAAATTACAAAAATAATATAATTCAAATTACAAACCCATCATTGTATAATTCAGGCAAACGAGATGTGTCAATATTAAGTTTAATTAAAAACTCTACAACATGTCCTCCAACCCACACCTCAATATCTTTCTCAGACGTTACTGCATCTCCAAGTAATGCACTGTATTCAAAATATGCTCGGGAACTTTCATCTTCATTTAATTTGCTGATCTAAATAATAATGATGAATATATTAATGTTTTCTTTAACATTAAAGCAAAATCATGAAACCTAAACATACCTGATGTGATTTATATAGTTGAACCAATTCTGATATAACATCACTTAATGCCTTAGGGTTATTTTCATTCCATTTAGAGAGACTAGGTAAACTGATTTCAACTATCTCTTCATTAATATTATTGAGGAAACTGTCGTCATCGAATCTGAAATCAGGCGCGAACCATGGGGTTGAAGGATCGAAAATCACTTCCCACTTTAGTTTCTTTGAGCAGTAAGGTAGAACAAGGCGAAACTGGTTTTCGGGGCCCTCCGAAGCCCCAGATATGCGCTCTATATCAACTTTTGTTTTACATAAACCTGTAAATTTCGTTACAATCTATCTATTTAGTTCAATTAGTTACTTCATTTGCATTCAATATTTAAATTAACAATTTACCTACCAAGTTTTAAATCTTGATAAACGCATTGTATATACGGTCGGAATGCGGGGGATAAATCGTGCAAAATACCCATACAAATATCATTATTAGACATTATTAAGGTAATGCTACAAACAAACTAAATCAACCACCTAAGTAATTAAAGTACTTTGTGATCTAAACTATAATTATTGCACCAACTTTACACGCTTTATTTACGCAAAAGTTAAGATATTTAGATATACACACAAACACAACTTGACTTAAGTAGGGTTTTTTTTCAAAATGGTTTTACGGCCCTGGCTTTCATGGCCTTCAGCTATACTCAAAGAGTAATGTAATATAAAAAGGGAAAGAGTAGCAACTCTACGGAAAATTTTGCATGTATGGAAAGTGCTGCCAGCTGGAGTTTGGTCTGTGAACTATTTTTGCCAACTATACTATACATAGCTTTTATGTATAGATATATTTTTGTATACTTGCATATATATAGGTATTATCTATAGCTATACTTAACTTCGTATTTATAGTCGAGAAGTAATTATTTGAGAATATGTCTATTGGCAAGACATTTGCTTGTTAAGACATTTTCTCAAATAATTACTTCTCTCGACTATAGGTAAGAGTGTTTAAGATGTTTTTATTATAGGTAATTGGAAATTAGTAAAAAAATAATTTGTATAATTATACCTTTATTAAATATTACATTATTTCTTAGTGGCATAACTTTTATGTTTATTATTATACTCTGTAGCCGCTTTTTTTATTTTATCGTCTCCTTGGTAGGACATTTTTCCATCTAATATTCTATTTATTGCTCTGCACCAGCTATAAATAATTATGTTTATAGATAAATCAGTGAAATATTTGGTGATGCTATCTTTATGTTTATCACAATTTAAAAAAGCAAAATCAGAAAACATTTCTAAAAATGATTTGATTCAATGTTTTAAAAATCTTTCATGGTAATTACTATTGAGAAATACAAATGTAACATTTTGGATTTCTTGAAAAGAAGCTAATAAATCGTCTGACGGATAACAAAGCCACATCTAATTGGTTTTGTATTCTTTGGCTTTAATGTATCGGTTTGTTTCCTTATCTGCAAGACCTAGTAACTTACTTTTACAATTTTTACAACCTTTAACAATTGTTTGCAGACATTTGGCTAAAGCTCACCCACAAACATATGCTCTTTGATCAGCCCCTGCATCTGAAATGCTTTTATTATTTTGTATAACATTCAAAGCTTGATCTAAAACGATAGTATGAGACTGTGAGGGAGCATCACTTATATTCTTATTCTTTAGGAAGAATTTCAGAGATTTGAGACATTTATTTGTATCTTCTTTGCAATTAAAACAACAAGATCATCTGTGTAAACATAATAGTGAATGTGTGGAGATATTGACATTTCATCAAATACTAATGTACACAGACGATCTTAATATAACATTTTCTCGACACTTATTTTTAGTTCTTTAAAAATTTGTTCATTTATACCTGGTGACAATTTAATTTGAGCAAGTTAAGATTTTGAGATGGAAAATTGAAATGCTTACACATCAGTTTATAAGCCTTAGGACTTTTTTTATACAATGAAAGGGATAATATTTTTCTTCCTACATAAATCTACGAACATTCTTTTTCTATTGTCCCTCTTCAAACTGCATCCTGGTAAACATCTTTGCAGATTCTGACATGTTCTTTGTTAGTTTTTTGAAATCCTTCTTGACACTGTATTTTTCATGTACCATCAAAGACATTCTAATTTTCCTAATTTTTCGCCGTAATCTATAGATTTCATTTTTCTTCTGTCTTTGTTTCTTCACACACTTTTTCTCCTTTTCCTTTTCTATAAATTCAAGTGTTTTACCTGAAAAGCATAGTTCTATTTAGTTTTCTTTTAATTTTTGCAAAACATTTATATGTATGAGACCACAGTAACAATAAAGGCTTTATAGTTATCATTCACATCTTATAGCAAGCTAGTAATAATATATAACTAGCTACTAGCTAGTAATAATATTTTTTATAAAAAAATCATGAGATTTTTGGTCATTTTATGATTCCAATAACTAGATAGTATACAGATGTCTATGAACCGATTCAATATCAGTTTAATATAACTAAAGACTTCTATATATGTTGTACCTTCATAACATATCATTTAGTTATCCCTTACCCTTTACAAAACCTAAACAATTATGGTGTCACAATTTTAATTCTGAATAGCTTGGCTAATAGTATACATAGAAGCCTTTGAATTTAATATATAATTTTATCCTTACATTGTTTAATTAATAAACAAAATTGATGTTAACTGAAACTACCTTTATATTTATGGAGTTTCAATAAATATAGAATAGGTATGTTGTAAATAAATAGAAAAGATATGTTACCTGTATCAAATTTGGATTGTGAAACTTGAGGATGACATATTTCACTTGATGTAGATGGACCAAGCTGATAGAGCCTAGATGGACCAGGTTTATTGACATCATTTTGTATGTTAGTTACATCGGGCCAAAGTGTAGAATGTGAAAATTCCCTTCTAGAATGACAGTAGTTATGTTCAATATCCACTAAAATATTTATAGATTGTTTCACACCTAAAACAACATTCATTACATGAAAAAAGTTCATCTTTCTTCATTATGAATGTAGTTTGTTTAGCGCTACCATTTGATTATCATGCCACATTCAAAAAATACATAGACAAATTTGATAGCTTGAAAGGAATTCAATGATAGTAAATAGATATATGGAGTAGCTCGGTGGCATAGTGGATAAGCGCCACGTCCCGTGATCGTAGTCGTTAAGCAACTTTCGCAAGGGTCGGTCATGGGATGGGTGACAAAAAAATGATTATCTCCAGCTACTCTGTGCCGTTAAGCTGTTGGTCCCGGCTGTATTTGCAGTCGTTAATACCCTCCAATCCGCATTGGGCCATGACCCCCATAAGGAAGGCCCGAGCCCCCGCAGTGGGAACATAAAAGGGCTGGTGATTATGATGATGAATTAGATATATAAACATACGATCGAAAATTGTCGGTACAGCTGACCAAATGAGACGTCCTCCAGTAGTCTTAAACTTCGTCTCAAAATGATGATCACATATTCTCTTGTACTTATAAATTTTTTGAGGATTGTTTTCACCAATATTCTCACTAACTGCAGACACCCAAGCAGTAAATAATGCGGGGCGCTTATCGAGATTTGGAAATCGATGGAGAGGTACATTTTGGATAGCTGAAATAATGATAGTTATGTTAATGACGAAAACTTAATGTAAACATTATTCACATCATTTAAATCCTGTTTAAGGCATCTCGATGTAAAGCGACATAAAATGCAGCTTAAATATTTTTATTGCTTGAGTGATATCATAAATCATTTAGACTCACTTACCTAAGCCAAATATGCAATATTTCTTCTGAACTCCACTTATTATTACGAAAGAAACCAAAAGAAAGTTTAACAAATAACAAACAAGAAAACACAGTTTTAACAAAGAAAATAACAAGAAACTTAACAAAAACACTAACAATATAAGATTTTAACAATAACAAAAACACCGAGAAATTCAACAAGCGCATCAACATCTACAAACAAGCCAGACAGAGAGAAATAGACCGGCCATATTGTCTGTCAAATAAATTTGACAACCAAAGCTTCACCAACCAATCTGTAGATGTCGCTGTCGACTACGAAAATTGGCATACTGTGAAGAGTGCCCCCCCTGGCTATACTTGAGTAGGTAGCTCGTGAACGCAGACCAAGAAGGAGATATTACGCAGAGGTGTTCAAAACGACTAAAAATCATTAACGCGCTCAATACTAATGATATATTTTTTACTTTTGTTAATGAAGGCGCTAATTTGTTAACACGTTAATTCAAAGAAGCATAAGGGTGCATGAAGACTCGTTAAATTTTGTAGCACGCTAAACCTTGTAACACGTTAATTATTTTATGTTGTACGTTAAACAGATTACATGCTATATTAAACAATAACTCATTACTATTTACTCTAAATAGTTCGAATTAATTATAGCAGTACTTACTAAATTAAAAGAAAATCTATAAACTCCTCTTTATATTTTTCCGGCTTAGGACTGTCTATAATTCAATTATAGGCGTATTTAAAAGTTCTTTGATTTCATTTATAAGAATCTACTATTTACATTTGCTATCTTATATTTTATTCACATTATTTACTCACAACATAATTGATTTAAACAATCATTTATAATCTATTTACACACACAAACTTCTTTAAACATACACAGAATAACACATAATCACCTAAAGTACCTTCTTTTCTAAAGTATTTAAAATATCGACTTACCCCCGGTTTCAATAATATACTGACAACCATCGGTAGCAGCTACTGACCGTTTTTTGAGCTACCGACAACCATTCGTTTTTGCGTTTCACAATCATCGGTTTTTTGAGCTACCGACAACCGTTCGTAGTTGGTAGGTGCCTACCTACCAACTACGAACGGTTGTCGGTAGCTTATATTTTTAAATTGTAATCATATAATTCGAGGAAAAGGGATCTTTCCATACAGCCTTGTCTTAGGTACGATAATATTATGATTATACTGAAATGTTGGTCTTTAACATTTAATAATTTCTTGGACAAAATCGAAATCGTAAGAAGGAAGACAGAGACATCAATAGGAAAGAGGTGATCTGATTACGTACCGAAACTAAATTTGAAATTTGTTTTGGAATTATTATGACTTATTTATTATATGGTTATGTTCCTAAAAGTGGTATTATTGTGAAACAAATTATCGTCTGAAATGGAATTCTGATGTAAACAAAAGAGTTACCATTACAACAAATAGTTTAAATTTATCTCTTTAAAAGTTTTTAGTAATTTTTTTACTTGAACTAAAAATCCTTTTTTTTCAGATAAAAATGGGATAGATATATTTTATGCTGCAGGCAAGAAACAGCGATTCGGAACATTTGGTTCATTAAATTAAACTTTTTTTTATTTAGTATAATTTATCGTAAAAATATTTATAAATGCCACGTTTTCCCTTATTAATTAAAAGAAAAGTGACAGTTTTTCATTAAAAAAATAATATTGTAGAAGAGCTT